AGTTGGGCTCCCCGGGAGCCTCTTGGAAGATAACCGGATGCTCTCTCGTGGTCGGAGGAGTAAGATTTAGAACAAAAAGCAACCAAAAAAAATCATAAGAAAGAAAAAAAATTACCTTGGGAGAATGCTGTGGTTGATGATGCCAAGTTTGTTCTCTAGAACTGCTGTCTCTGCAAATATTTAAAAGGAATGTCCCAAGGGCATGAGCAACATTTTACTTTTATATTTTCAGAGGCCGAAATCATAACAAGTATTCATGAGTGCCCAGACATCTCAATGAAGAGGCGACTTCTCGACCTCTGCATGGTGGTCGAGAAATCCCGAATTCTCCTAGCGACTCCATGCCCCGCTTCTTTAAATCTCTGAGCAGGCTGGCATGTCAGCGCTTCTGGTTCTTGATTGTTGAAAGTCTGGACTTGAAAGGGTTGAGTGCCTTGCCCAGAAGGACTCAGATGGTTAAAAGGCAGCACTGGGATGTGCCCCCCCCCCCCCGCCAGAAACCGCTTATCCTGACTCAGAATCAGAGCTGGGGGTGACCTCGGGAAGCCCCTAGTCAGCCCGTCACTCACCTGCCAGCCGCAGGAAATACAGCCTTCTATCTGGGTTACTTTACTCGAAAGGTATTTTTCTCCCTCTAATTGCAGGTATGTTGTCCTGGTGTAAGGCTTTCTCGTGAATCAGATGCGCTGGAGTTACTTTATGAAAAAGCACAACCCAGGGATGTCCTCAGGAGCTTTTGCCATCCAACTTATGGCCCCTTTGCAGAACAGCCCTGGGCGACAGTGATATCCACAGTCTGGTACCTGCTTTAGACTGCTCCTTAGTGTCTTGGAGGAGGGGAGGCGGGGGGGGAGTAACCCCTCGCTGCAAAGTGCACTCAAACTAGCAAACTGGGTGTATCAATAGTTCTGTCATCTCCTTTGTCTCCTATATTTTCATGTTCTCAACATAAGTCATTTCAAAACCCCAGACGATCTTTTTTTTCCAGGGGAGGGTCACACCCGGCGATGCACAGGGGTTACTCCTGGTTCATGCACTCAAGAACTACTCCTGGCGTTGCTTGGGGGACCATATGGGATGTTGGGAATCGAACCTGGGTCGGCCGTGTGCAAGGCAAATGCCCTACCCACTATGCTATCACTCTAGTCCATCCCCCTCCCACCCCCCTACCCTGCCCAGACAGTCTTCGCCCAAGAAAGAGAAGCCACTGACCACCCAAAGAACTTACCTGCCTGAGCTTGGATACGAGCTCCTTCTCTAGCTCTCTCTCAGGGTTCCCGAGGCGCCTTCAGTCCTGACTGCTCCCTGTGTTTCCTCCCTGCCACCCCATGCCCCAAGTCTGGCTTCAGCATCTGCCTCTTCCCATGCACCAAATCCCATCCCAATCTCCAGCCCCTTCCTCACCGCTGTTGTCCTGATACTGGGCTGACCGGGTCCCCTACCTCCACCAGAAACTTGTATCCGCCAAAACCTGTGCTTATTAGAGCAATCTGTTCCTCTCCCTCTGACTGATTTCACTCAGCAAGATACTCTGCATGTCCATCCGTGTATAAGCAAATTTCATGACTTCGTTTTTTCCCTAAGAGATATGTAGTGTTCCATTGTGTAGATAGATGTTCCATCATTTCTTTATTCAAACTTACCTGTTCTTGAGTACTTAGATTGTTTCCAGGTTATGACTATTGTGAATAATGCCGCAATGAGCAAGCATAGCATGATTGCTCTCATTTGTGGGATAACACACACACACACACACAAAACCCATAGTATGTGAATAATACCCAAAGACAGTATTGTAAAGGGCCAGGAGGACTGGTCCTTAGTAGGATGCTTGCCACCAAGGGGCAGGGGGAGTGCAGTTAGGACAGAGAAGGGACCACTATGACAATGATAGCGGGAAATGATCACTCTGGACCAAAACTAAGTGCTGAAATGAGGTAAAGTGATATGCATGATACCCTTTCAGTAACAGTATTACAAACCGCAGTGCCTAAATGGAAAATGAGAGAGAGAGAGAGAGACAGAGACAGAGACAGAGACAGAGACAGAGAGAGGAAGGGAGAGGTATCTGCCATAGAGATGGCAGGCTGTGAGAGCAGGATTGGGTTGGTGGTGGGAGGGATACTTGGAACATTGGTGGCAGAAAATGTGCACCGGTGGAGGGATGGGTGTTGGAACATTTTATGACTGAAACTCAATAATAAAAAAATTTTTGTCACTGTGTATCTCAGGGTGATTTAATTAAAAAATAAAATTAATTTTTTTTTTAAAAAAGGAAAGACCAGATCTCTGTATTTGGGTAGCAGTGGGCCTGCCTGATCTCTCAATACCTTTCTCCAAAGTGGGAATTTCATCATTTTCTCTCTCTGACCCTTCCTCCCTCCCTGATCCACAACTCAGTACTTTGCCCTTGATGGGGGTTCACATGTGCATGTGCTTTTTTTGTGTGATCTTAGGTGTTTTGAATGCCGGAGAGCAAACCCAAGACCCCACACAGACAATGATGAATTTGCTCTTCCCCTGAGCCACCAACATAATGAATTTATTTCTGAACATTCTCATTCTCTGTCTCACAGGGTAAATATCTTTATTTATTTTTTTTCCTGAGACTCTGTGTATTTGTAGTCTCAAGGTGGTCGTTGGTAAAAGTGCTGTCACAGGTGGCTAGAGAAGAGAGAATCTTCCCTGGCCTGAGGGTCTGGTTCATGCCCAGCAGATCTCAGGTGATGTGACCGTTTCTGCATACTCTAGTTTTCCAGAGAATTCATGCATAATCATGATGGGATGAAGGGGACATGAGTGGGGAGCAGCATACAACAGACAGGCGTGGCCTGCACAGAAAATGGTAGAGAAATGTTTGGGGGGGGGGTGCTTTTTAGTTCAGTGATAAGAAGAAGGGGGGTAGGGGGCATGGGGGAAGAAAGACTCCATTGCCCAGTCTGTACTAGCCAGAACTGGAATTGTCCTGCCGGAGGCCTGGAGTCTGTCCACATATTTCTGTGAAAGTTTCCTTCATAGCTCAGAGACCCAAGAGGGCTTCTCCCAGGGAGGGGTTATCACATTCTCTAAGCTGCACATCTCTGGCCAATCTGTTTTAGCTTTTTCTAACCCCAGAGTCCTTCTAAGTTTTGCTTGGTTTTGTTTTTTTGAACGCGGGGGGTGGAGGGGCAGTGTTGCAAAAAAGCTTTGATAAGATAGGGCCAGAGGGGCTGGAGCAATAGCACAGTGGGTAGGGCATTTGCCTTGCACACGGCCAACCTGGGTTTGATTCCCAGCATCCCATATGGTCCCCTGAGCACTGCCAGGAGTAATTCCTGAGTGCATGAGCCAGGAGTAACCCTTGTGCATCGCCGGGTGTGATCCCCCCCGCCAAAAAAAAGAAAAAGATAGGGCCAGAGAGTATAATAAATAAGACACAGACCTAATCCAACCCGAATTTAATCCCAGCCACCAGTTACGGTCCCCCAAACTCACCAGGAGTGATTTCTGAGCACAGAGCTAGGAGCAAGCCCTCAGCATAGCCTCATGTGGCCCTCCAAACAAACAAACAAACAAAAGATTTGATATGTAGACCAAAGGGGAGGATCAACTTTTCCCATGGAAATTCTTTTACAATCTCTCCAATGCATCATCTTTCTTATTTTACAAAACTGCTAAGAGTGATAGGCTGGAACCATAGCATAGCACAGTGGATAGGGCATTTGCCTTGCATGTGGCCGACCCAGCCAACCTGAGTCCGATTCCTCCGTCCCTCTCTGAGAGCCCAGCAAGTTACTGAGAGTATCTCGCCCACAAGGCAAAGCCTGGCAAGCTACCCATGATGTATTCGATATGCCAAATACAGTAACAAGTCTCACAATGGAGACGTTACTGGGCCCGCTTGAGCAATTCGATGAACAATGGGAGGACAGTGTTACCATGCTACAGTGCTACTAGGAGTGGTAACCTGATGACGTGGGACTCTCTTAGATGAACTTGATGTTGTCTTGGTCCCCAGGAAAAGAGCCTGGATAGTTTGACTTTACAACCAGGAAAAGAGACATTTCAACTTTGGAGCGTGGGCTCCTGCGTCCCCAGGGAGTGAAGGCTGGTCCCAGGGTTGGGGGACTGTGGGTCTTGAATGTTTCTTGGGGGGGGGGCTCTGACGCTTTTCCATTTTTAGAGAAACATGTTTCAGTGACAGTGGTCCCAAAGGTTTCAATGGCAGAGGACAATAAGATCATCTCCCAATGTCTATGGCATGTCTTTGTAAACCTCCGGGCCCTTTTTAGATCCCGTGGGTCAGTTGGAAGAACTCTTATCACTTGCCTAAAGTAGAGGGAGAATAAGAAGGAAGGTGCCCGATGCAGAGGCAGGGGGTGGAATGGAGTGGGGGTGGCAAGAAAGATACTGGGAACATTGGTGGTGAAAAGTGCGCCCTGGAGGAGAGATGGGTGTTGGGTCATCATATGACTGAAACTCAATCATGAACGCTTTGTAACTGTATCTCACGGTGATCCAATTAATTGTAACTGTATCTCACGGTGATCCAATTAAATAAATAAATCACAGCCCTCCCGTTGTTCATCAATTTGCTCGAGTGGGTCCAGTAACATTGTGAGACTTGTTACTGTGTTTGGCATATCGAATACGTCACGAGGAGCTTGCCAGGCTTTGCCGTACGGGCCAGATACTCTCAGTAGCTTGCCAGGCTCTCCGAGAGGGGCAGAGGAATTGAACTTGGGTTGGCCATGTTGGCTGTGTGTAAGGCAAATGCCCTACCCACTGTGCTATCGCTCCAGCCCACAAATAAAGAAATAAATTTTTTTTTTTATAAAAGGACTCTATCATGAAGGACCCAGGGCTTCTAAAACTTTCCAACAAAGACAGAGGTGCTGTGGCAATGGACAAGCTCTCTGAAGTGAGCCCTTTCTAGAACCAGATCAGAGATGGCAGGCTTCCTGGTGGAGCAACCCCTCCTCTTCTCTCCTCTAATCCTGCCTTCCTCTGCTCCTCCCCAGCTTCTAGAAGGATCATCCCTCAAAGGCCAGCGTTCTTGGGAAGATGAAGGCCTCTCTCCCCTGCCTGTGAGTGAAGCAATGCTGACCTCTGTCTCCTGGACGTTCTGACTCAGGTAAGCACACCGCCTTCCCCAGCCTTCTACCCCTCAAGGAAACGGCACTGAATCAATGAAATATCGAAGGTATATTTAAATGTAAATGGAACATTGATTGTTTCTTCACCCACTGGTGTCCTCCTCCTCCCTTCCAATCTTCTTAATGATCAGTTGATGCAGTGATCAGACTGACAATGTGGTCAGTGCAATTTAGACATTAAGATAATGAAAACACGCAGGGTCCACATCTTTATTTAAAATTGTGCTGTGGGGGCTGGAGCAGTAGCACAGTGGGTGGGGCGTTTGCCTTGCACACGGCCGACCCGGGTTCGATTCCCAGCATCTCATGGTCCCCTGAGCACTGCCAGGAGTAATTCCTGAGTGCAGAGCCAGGAGTAACCCCTGTGCATTGCTGGCCAGGTGTGACCCAAAAAGTAAAATAAAATAAAATAAAATAAAATTGTGCTGTGGAGCCTGAGAGAGAACTCCACAGACAGCTGAGCCCATGTGTTGCCTGCTGGAGGCCTTCCTGCTATCACGTGGCCCCCCAAGCATTATACGAAGCAATGCCCCATCTCCTCCCCAACCCAGGGTCTGGCCCCCAAATGAAGCAAGAATGCAAAAACTGTCACTGTCACTGTCCTCCCATTGTTTATCGATTTGCTCGAGCAGGCCCAATAACATTGTGAGACTTGTTACTGTGTTTGGCATATCAAATACATAACGGGTAGCTTGCCAGGCTTTGCCATGTGGCAAGATACTCTCGGTAGCTTGCCGGACTCTCCGAGAGGGGCGGAGGAATCGAACTCAGGTTGGCCGTGTGGGCCACGTGCAAGGCAAACGCCCTACCTGCTGTGCTATCACTCCAGCCCAATGCAAAAACAAAAATAGTAATATTGTACTGTGTATTATGAGCTCACAAAGCAGAAGAAAAGAGCATTGCTGAAAAGATTTGTGTAGGAATGTGTTTTGGGGGTATAGAAAGATGGCAGGGTAGTTAAGACACTTGTCTTGTGGCCTGCTGACCCAAATCCCTGCTTCTTCATATACTCTCCCAGACACTGCCAAGGGTCACTCTCAGCACAGAGCCAGGAATAGCTCCTGGGCACCACCAGGTGTGGCCCAAACACCAATACCTCCCTCCAAAAAAAATAATTACCTAGTTTCATCAAGAGTTCTTCTCGGGGCTGGAGTGATAGCACAGTGGGTAGGGCATTTGCCTTGCATGCAACCGACCCGGGTTCAATTCCCAGCATCCCATATGGTTCCCCAAACACTGCCAGGTGTGATTCCTGAGTGCACCACCAGAAGTGACCCCTGTGCATTGCCGGGTGTGACCCAGAAAGCAAAAAAAAAAAAAAAAAAAAAGAGTTCCTCTGAATCATTTTCTTTCCCCTGGTAACATGTTTTGCCTTGAATTATTCTAATGCTTCTCATGTACCTTTTGAGTCAGTGTTACTGAGTATCAGTGATGTGTTTTTGGAACAGATGGGGATAAAGGATGCCAGGCATGGAGTTAGCCACACGGAGCTTATGGCTTAGCCAAAGACCCGGGAGTCACGCCTAAGAAAATGACAGATGGTGTTGCTCAGTTTCGGGCTGGACCGGGTACCGGTTCTCTGGTTCAGGAAATGGAGCAACTGAGAAGGTTGGGATGCAAATTACCGGGGAAGAGCTTATGGAGGCGGGGAGGGCTCCTGGCAGGCGTTGTGACGGAGGCAGGATCTAGAAGAGGAGCAGCAAGATCCGTGGATGTGGAGTGGGACCTGAGCTGAGAGGACCAGGGCTGGCTGCAGATGCTCAGCGGAGGTCCCTGGCACCTCTCCCAGCCAGAGGCGGACTGTCCTGCAGGTTTCACTGGGGGAGGGGGGGGACACACCTGTCCTGCTACAGAGGGGCCTGGCAGAGAACAGCCATCAGCATCCTTGTCACCACCTGGCAGGCCTTTTCTGCTCCCCCAGGCCGGTCCTCCTCTGCCCTCTGCCTACCTGCCTTGTTATTGCCTCTTCTCCCACACACCGGCCTCCTCCCCTCCCAGTTCTTCCTGGCAGCTGTGACTTGACCAGAGCCTGGAATGTCCCAGAGCCTCTAAGGTCAGTGCCGCACAGATGGAGCCCCTAGAGGGAGTTTTCTGCAGTTAGAATGCAGGGAGGACCTTCAGGCTGATGCCAGGGGCCCTGGGCAGGGATGAGGAGCCATGTGCCCTACTCACTTGGGGTGGTCCAGCCAGTCTCACCCACACTCTTTTGGATAAAGCAGGATGGGCTTTCACTACCCTGGGTCTGATGGTGTTCTGAGAGTTGCCTGCCCTAGCCACCCCCCGCCCCCACCTGGGTTTGCTCTGTGCTCCTGGGGTTGCCCTGGGACCTCCCCAGAAGCAGTTCCCACCAGGGAACAGAAGGGCTAGAACGACTTCCTGCATGGTTGAGGCTGGGTCTCCTCCCATGGCTCTCCCCTAGGCCAGGCCAGGGCCGAACACGTCAAACCTGCTGCTGCTTTGTGTGTGACAGACAAGTTAAAAAAAAAAAAGAATGGGAATCATCCATACTGTTTTCCAAAAGGGTTGGACCAGTCGGCATTCCCACCAGTAGTGAAGGAGGGTCCCTTTCTCACCACATCCGCGCCAGCACTGGTGGCCTTGACTTGGAGGCCAGTCACATGTGCTAGGGGAAAAGGAAGCTCAGATAGAGAAGGGAGCATCAAATAAAGGGTGTTGGGAGGATCCTCCCAGGATGGGAGATGCATGCTGAGAGTAGACTATAGACCGAACATGATTGCCACTCAATGTCTTTTTTGCAAACCACAGCACCCAAAAGGAGAGAGACAACAAAAGGGAATGCCCTGCCACAGAGGCAGGGTGGGATGGGGAGGATGGGGGGTGGGAGGGATACTGGGACCCGTGGTGGTGGAGGATAGGCACTAGTGGAGGGATGGTTATTTGATTATTGTATAACTGAAACCCAAGCACAAAAATTTGTAAGTCTATAACTGTACCTCATGGTGTCTCACTAATAAAAATAAAATAAAATGTCATAGTTAATGAAGACATACAGTTAAACTAAAAAAAAATTTTAAAAAAGAATGGTTCTTTGCCTTTTTTAATCAAGGCTAACACTTTGTGCCTTATGGAAGTTCTGTGGAATTTAAATTTCAGTGGACCCACATAAAGTTTTACAGGAACATGGGTTCGCTCAGATTATCTGTGGCAGCTTTTGTGTTCTGATGCTGAGTTGAAGAGATGTAACAGGAAACAAACTATTTACGTTCTGCCCATTGCAGAAAAAAAAATGAGCCACCCTTTGGGGCTGAAGATATGGCTTGCTGGTAGCATGTGAGATCCTGGGTTTGATCCCTGGCACTATTTACTACCTCCGCCCCCTTCCCCCCAAAAAGAGTGCTACCCTCTGGCCTAGGCAGTTGTGTGGCATTAATATTTGCAACGTTTAAGGTATAGAACGTTTCCCTAGGAGGAAAATATGACTGAAGAATGAGTAGGATTTTCATTAGGAGAAGAAAGGAGAAGCATCTTCTAGATTGAGCCAGAGAACTGAGTTGGAATTTTCCATTCATCCATTTAACTTTCAATTAAATGTAGAGAGGACATTAAGGACAGTTTATTTCAGGAACCTATATATTAGGGTTGTCTTTAAAATGAGGCATCCAGGCTTCTTGAATTAACCTAAATGTTGAAACAAAGCACCACATTAAAACACAAGCTGCATTCTGGAATTTTCCCACTTTTACTTGGCCCAAGCTGCAAACTATTTTATTTTATTTTACTTTATTTGATTTTTTGGACCACACCCAAAAAAATGGTGCTTAGGAGTTTCTCCTGGCTCTGCACTCAGGGATCACTCCTGGTGGGCTGAGGGGACCATATAGGATGCCTGGGCATTGAACTTGGGTCAGTTGTGTGCTTTACCTATTGTACTATCTCTCTGGCCCCAACAAACTACTTTATTTTAAACTTAATATTTCATTTTAAATCAAGCAAGCAGTGAAAACTTGACATTGAATAGACTACAGCATTTAATCTTGGTGTTGTGCTCAGAGTCTGGTGGGATTTGGTGGTATTGTTGAGTGAAAATTTCGGTGAGAGTTGGAAATGTGGGTTCTCATTCTGCTCACCAGCAGAGCTAGCCCAGTAGCCATGAGGGGGAAGCAGTACTCTCCTGAACTGGGCAGAGTGATAGCACAATGGGGAAGGCACTTGCTTTGCATACTACTGACCCGGGCTGGAGTGATAGCACAGCGGTAGGGTGTTTGCCTTGCACGCGGCCAACATGGCCAACCTGAGTTCGATTCCTCTGCCCCTCTCAGAGAGCCTGGCAAGCTACCGAGAGTATCTCGCCTGCATGGCAAAGCCTGACAAGCTCCCCATAACGTATTCGATATGCCAAACACAGTAACAAGTCTCACGATGGAGATGTTACTGGGCCTGCTCGAGCAAATCAATGAACAACGGGAGGACAGTGACAGTGACTGCTGACCCAGGTTCAATCTCTGGCACCTCATATGGTCTCCCAAGCCCTCCAGGGGTGATCCCTAAGTGCAGAGCCATGAGTAACCCCTGAATACCAGTGGATGTTGTCCCAAAACGTACCAATAAAAGTACTCTCCAGATCTCAAGACTCAAAACGTATTTCTCATTTAGACTGTACCAGTGTGACAGTCTTCTGTTTAGCATTTTGAGGTACCACCATCCCCCAAATTTTGGTGCTTTTCGCTACAAGGACTCAGACCAATCCCATAACCACAGCCCATTGAGCAGGGCAAGTCACGAGTTGTGATCTTGCAGGGAAGGAAAGAGGAAGATGAGGAGGCTTGGGGGCAACATTGCCTCTCTGGGTGACTGTGGGGAAGCTTTTATTTCTCAGAACCAAAGAGTAAATAGGCCAGGGCTAGGTGGACTCACGTAGTTTATCAAAGGCACAAAGAAGGTGTCTAAAAGAGCTTTGCAATGGACTTCAGAGTAGAATGGTTGCCCAGTTTCTTTACTAGGGTATAAAATCCCCTTC